GTATAGGTTCTTTCAAATTAGTGTTTCAGGTTTCTTAGGATATGATTCTAGCAATGGAACTGCTGGGTCAAAAGGCAGTTCCATTTTTAGTTTTCTGAAGAAATTCTGTACTGTTTTCCATTAGTAGTTACACCAGTCTGAAATCTGACCAACAGTGTACTAGGGTTCATTTTCTCCACAACCTCTCCAGCACTTATTGTTTGTTGATTTGTTTATGATGGCCATTCTGACCTGTGTGAAGTGACCTTGTGAAGGAGAACAAAGAAGTCCTCCTACTTTGTTCTTCTTTCTCAAAATTGCTCCAGCTATAAAACTCCCAGCACACAAAAGCCTTGGACCACGTGGTTTCACAGGAGAATTATACAAAGCATTTAAGGAAGAGCTAATTCCTATCCTTCACAGAATATTCCAAAAAATCCAAGAAGGCAGAAGGTTTCTAAACTTTTTTAATGAAACTAGCATCATTCTAATCTCAAACCAGATAAAGCTATAACCAAGAAAGAAAACTTCAGGCCAATATCACTGATGAAAATAGACACAAAAATCCTCAACAAAATATTGGCAAACTGCATTCAGCAATACATTAGAAAGATCATATACCATGATTAAGTGGGGTTCATCCCAGGGATGCAAGGATGGTACAACATTCACAAATCAATAAACATAATACATCACATAAACAAAAGCAAAGACAAAAATCACATGATCATATCAGTAAGTGCAGGAAAAGCATTTGATAAGCTAGAGTACCCATTTATGATTAAAATGCTTAGCAAAGTGGGAATAGAGGAACCATTCCTCAACATAATAAAAGCCATATATGAGAGACCTACATCAGACTCGATGGGCAAAAACTAAAAACTTTCCCACAAAGATCAGAAACAGGACAAGTTGCCCACTTTCACCACTTCTATTCAACATAGTACTGGAAGTTCTAGACACAACAATCAGACAAGAAAAAGAAATAAAAGGCATCTAGCAGGGGACGCACGAAAGGCAACCATACATTGATGTTTCTCTCCCTCTCTCCTTCCCTTCCCCTCTAAAGATAAATAAATAAAATCTTTAAAAAAAAAAAGAAATAAAAGGCATCTAAATCAGAAAAGAGGAAACAAAACTGTCATTGTTTGTAGATGACATGATAGTGTATATAGAAAATCCTATAGACTCCACCAAAAAACTAATCAACCTAATTAATGAATTTGGCAAAACAGCAGGATACAAAGTCAATATTCAGAAATCAAAGCATTTTTTTTACAACAATAAAACAGCAGAAAGAGAAATCAGGAAAAAAATCCCATTTGATATAGCAGCAAGAAAAATAAAGTACCTAGGAGTAAACCTAACCAAGGAGGTAAAAGACCTGTACCCAGAAAACTACACAACACTGAAGAAAGAAATTAAAGAAGGCACAAACAAATGGAAGTATGTACCATGCTCATAGATTAGAAAAATTATCAAAATGGCCATACTACCCAAAGCAATTTATAGATTCAATACAATACCTATTAAAGTACCAATGGCATATTTCACAGACAGAACACTTAAAAATGCATATGGAAGCAAATTCATTCATTTTGAATATTTCTCTTTATTATGTTGTTATAAGAGGGTAGCAAGGTCATTTCCCTTTCTCTGTGTCTCTGAGCACATGCTGCTCTTCTTTCCCATTTTTAAATTGCATTCCTTTGGTAATTGAATTGTAAAAACTATTTATGTAATTTGGACACTGTTCATGTTTGTTTTTCATATGTGTGTGAGCCTATTTTCTTCTAATCCTTTGCTTTTCACATTTTTAGCAGTCTTAGAGGAGGAATGTTAATTTGAATGACTGTGTATTTTGTTCATGTCACCTCTTTTTTCTGTTTTAAAAAATATTTGCCTAACCCATGGCCACAATGAATTTCTTCTATATTTTCATCTTGAAGTTTTATTGTTTTCAGTTTTATATTTAGTTCTATCAGTTTTTTTAGCTCATTTTTGTTTATGGTGTTCAATATGGATTGAGGGTTCTTTTTCATATACATGAAAAATTGTTCTAATGCTCATTGTTGAAAAGTTTATCCATTGTTCATTTTTATATTTACCTGGCACCCTTGATAAAAATCAGTTAACCATGTCTGTGTAGATCTATTTCTGGATTCCTTTTTCTGTTGCTCTTATCTATGTATCTGTCCTTTCACCAATACCCCACTGCCTTAATAATTGTAGATTAAAGGTATGTCTAAAATTTTATTGTGTTCAAAATTTTGTGGATATTCTATGTCCTTTGCCTTCCCATATATATTTTACAACCAGCATCTTAATTTGTAAAATATTCTTGAGATTTTGTTATTATATAAAATCTGTTTTACAATTTAGGGAAAGTATGATATCTTAAATATATTAAGTCTTCCAATCCATGAACATGGCATATCTGTCCATATATTTTTTTTCTTTGACTTCTGTCATCACAACTTTGTAGTTTTCAGCATATAAATTCTTTACATGTTTGGTTAAATTTATTTCTAAATATTATATATAAGTTGTTGTTGGTATTGTTAGTAGTACTATTTTTTTTTAATTAACAATTTTGAATTGTTAATTGTTGGTTTTCGCCCCAAACAGCACAGGTTTAAACTGCATGGGTCCACTTATACACAGATTATTTTCCACTAAATACTGTTGTTCTCCATGTCTATGGGTTTTGCATCCACAGATTCAGTCAGTGGATGATCTAATAAAGCATTTTCGGCCCACAGTTTGGAGTTGGCAGTTGTAGAAGGCTTACTGTAGGCATTGTTCTATGCCATTTTAAATAAGAAACTTGAGCATCCACAGATTTTGGTATTTGTAGGATGTCTTGAAACCAATGCTGAAGGCTGACTGTAGTTAAGATTTGGGAAATTCACAGATTTTTTTTTTTTTTACTGTGTAGGGGGTAAATGCTCCTAACTCCCATGTTGTTTAATGGTCAACTGTATATAGAATTTAAATTAAGTTTGTGTCTCTCATTCTATTTTACAGCTCTATATACTTCATTATGCATGTGCCAACATTTATTTAATGAATTTCCTATGTATGTATATTTATGTATATTCCAATATTTTATACTTACACAATAATTAAATCTCAATATACATATTTTTATGTATATTGGGAAAGCTGTGCTTTCTGGGTGAATATCTAAAAATATTTTGCTTGGTGAAAAGTTAAATTCATAGAAAGTATTATTACATATTTCCAAATTTCTCTACAAAGAGCATGTATTTTGCACTTGTAGTTATAATGTATGAGTGCCTACTTTCCCCTGCCACTTAACCAACAGAATATATTGTCAAACATTGAAACTGTTACCAATCTCATGAGTGAGAAACAATTCCTTAAATGTAGTATTGATTTGCATTTTTCTTACTCTAAGTAAAGTTGAGCAATTTTTATATGCCTAAGATCTATTTTTACATTAGTCTTCATGAATTGGATTTTTATGTATTTTCTTATTTTCATGTAGGATATTTTTTATGTTTTCTCTTCATTTTTAAATTTTAGATTTTTTTATATCAGTGACAGTAGGGCATCATCTCCTAAATAGGTTGAAAATATTCTCTATAGTCTGTCTTCTGTCCTTTCATTTGTTATGTTGCTTGTTAACATGCAATATCTACTTTTATTTTTATGTAGTAAAAGTTATTAATATTATCTTTTTGCATCTTGAATTTTACTTATGAATACAGACTCATTCCTCAAACCCATATTGCACAACAGAGGCTGGCAAATTTCCTCTGTATGTGATCAGAAAACAAATGTTTTCACCTTTGTGAACCATAAGGTCTGTGCTGTGATTACTCATCTCTGCTCCTGTAGCTCCTAAGCAGTCAGACAGTATGTAAATGTGTAGAGGTGGCTGTGTTCCAGGAATGTCAAGGACAGATATAGTATTAGAAAATATTCCTAAAGAAGAGTTTCTTTTTTCATTTATTTCTATTACCTCAAAAATAATAGAAAATAAAACGTTTTTGTTTTATATTTTATTCTCTTATGTTTTGAAAGTCAAATCATCCATAGTATTTATATGATTTCTAGGAAGATAACACTTAGACTCAGTTTACAATAGTAATCTCTTTGTTTCAGTAATTATTTTGTGAATGAGAGTTTGTTTTCTCTTTAGCTGTGGGAACTACAGACTAGATGCCATTTCTACTGCCTGTGTTTCAGAAGCAGGTAGCAGACTGGTTGCAAGGATGGTCACTGAAGCCAGAAGCCCAGCTTTCCATCTGCACTTAGTATCCCAGTGACCACAGACAAAGTAAATAACATCTCTATGTTTGTTTCCTCATAAAGAGTATGTCAACAGATTGTCACAAACATGAGATGAATTAGAACAGTTCCTGAGAAAGAGCAGTGAATGAACACTGTGATCCTCCAAGGATCCCAGCAGGATCCTAGGAAAAGGGATCCTGATGACTATCCACTCTGGTGTGGGATCATCTAATGACCCTGGGGGATCTCAGGCCTGTGCAAAGGGAAGTGTGGTGGTCAGGCATACATTCCTCAATGTAGAATGAATACTCTTCCTTCCCCTGGAAGGAGAGGGCAAACGCTCCATCCCACATCCATCCAAAAATGTGTGCAGTAAATAAAACACTGAACATCTTCAGAATGGCCTGACAGGGTTGAAGCAGTATGAGGGTTTTGAAAGTAATTTTATCTCTCTAACTTCAAATTATTAAAAGTAAATGGGGAAAATGATCATTACTTCACAAACATGTTGCAGTGGTTACATAAGATATAATATCACAGGCATGTTTCCTGCCACTTGATGATTTCCTCTCTGAGTATGAGCCATATCATTTACATTAGGAGTAATCTCTGTGATCAAATGAATAATACACAACTCAAGTTCTGTGTGGAGGGAGGCTCAGGCTGGGTGCCCAGCTGTGCAGACTCTGTGGTCGCCCATGTTGAGAAGGATGTGTGTGGGCACAGACTGAAGATGGTTCTTGTGAGGGAATCTTGGCAACTCTATCATTGTGGGTGCCAGTCCAGCAGGCACAGAAGTACACGGCCTCATCTTGTTTCTCTAAGAAATTTATTTTCAAGGTGGAAGTAGAAGTTTGAGGATTTTTACTTGCCTCAAATTTGTTGTTCTTCCCAAGTGCAGGGGTGTTCGAATAAGCATATATTAAATGTTCTATACTTTGATCTGGTTTCTGCCGGTACCAGTGTATGTAGTCTGAGCTAAAGGAGCCAGAAGACACCTTACAAGATATATGGGCACTCTTATCACTTGACCTGGAAACTGATATTTCAGATTGCTCCAACTTTAACTGCCCGAGGCCAGCTGTAGAAAAAAAATTAAATCAGTAGATCTCCATGAACAAATGGATGTAAAGAGGCAACAATAAAGAAATTCTTCCGTCTCTCTTTTAGACTAAAAAATAGGGGTAACTCACAAGCCCAGAGGGAGAAGAAGATGACTGCTTCCAGTAGTGACATCCCGAACTCCAGGCTGGCTCCCCAAGGAGGAGGTAAGAAAATGAGGCCCCTGTTAGCAGACCAGAGTCAGGAGGGCGGGGCTCTGTCTTGATTCTAGGAGGAAGTGGTGGCTCAGACAGTTCCCTGGGGTTCTTCATGACCTGCTTATACAGATGAGCAATTTGGGGCTTCTTCTCTCACAGGAGTGCTGGGAGGATAGGATAAGAGTGTTTGTGATCTAGAAAAACAAGTTCTGGAATAAATGTGTCTGTCTTGGGTTGGGGCAAGAATGGTTCTCACACCCACTCATCCACTCCCTGTAAAATACCATGACATAGGAACATTACTTCAGAAATGTGAAGACATACAAATTGTATTCAGATCCTATGTCAATCTTTCTGTGAACTCAGGATTTGGGTATGGAAATTGACCTTTATTTTTCTGTAACATAAAAAAACAAAATCAGACACTGGAATACTTCATTGACATTATTTAAGATGCCATATGCCCAATCACTGGAAAATTTCTGTTTTTTTTAAATTAATTAATATGTCACCACACAGACTATGACTCAGGACAACCACTTCATTTACAATCCGGGTGCCTTTTAGAAAGGGCTGGACTGCAGCTGCTGGCAGATAGAGGAGACAGAGAAATTTGGGGACTCAACTTCCCATTTTGGACTTTGGAACTGTCTCATGAACACTATGCCACATGCAGGAGTATTGTCAATGTCATGATATGTTTAATATATAATAATAAGCTTTCAAATTAATATGGCACCTAATATTCATTTAGAAACTATTATTTATAAGACAGTATTCTAAATGTTTACTTATTTTATTTAATCCTCTCAACAACACTCCTGTGAGGTAGCTGCTAATGATATTCTACATTTGGCAATGAGAACATGGCAAAAAGAAGTGACTGAAAGTCCCAGATTTGGGAACTATGAGAACTCAATAGTCATTTATTAAAGAATGTCTGAGTAAAAGGAGGTATACACAATGACAGTAAAATGTGCCCATATTTTACTGTTATTTTGAAATCTTCTCTACATATTTATGAATAGAAATAGAATTTATTTTGATTATATAAATAAACATTTTAAGTGGGACTTGAATATTTGGCCTTATAGTCTTCTCTTTTGGTTAATGTAGTGAGAAACTCTGAGGTCATGAAATAATCTATGTGAGTATTATTTACTAACCAAAGTTATAATTCAACACCTTTCTATACCACTTAGCTCTATCTAACATTTGTGTTACTTAGGCTTCTCGTGCCTCACTTGCCTCATAAACATGTTGCCTACATATCTTTCTTTCAGAGGTGTTAGGAGGCTTATATGATCACATTACATAAGAGTGTGCACAAAACACTCAAATAATAGTACTTGGCACATCAGGAGTCTTCAATGATGGTACGAAGTGTTATTATTTGTATTATTATTGAACAATACAAAATTACCTTGCTATATATTTTTACAGTGCAACTCTAGTAACTCATTCAAAAAGCTATGTTAGTTAATCAAAGTACATAGGAGAAATAAAGCTATCTATTTCCTCGGGAATAATCATTCTTAAAGTTTTAGAAAATTCCTTTCCCCCTTTAATTAATCTTCTATCAATATAAAAAGTTTTACTGTCAAAAATTATTATATACTGAAAAATTTTTCTATTATATTGCAAATATTTTAAATTTTAGTAATAAATCCATAAAATATTTTTGAATGGCTTCATGGTAGTCTATTCTTTGAATGCAATGTAAATCAGGTGTCTCTTTCCCTGTAAATCATCATTTAGTCTGACATATAAAAATCTGCTGGAGAGTTTTCTTTTAAGATCTGAACACAGCAGAGTGTATCGTTGTCAGCATCTCATTACAGCTCTATGAGTCTCTTTTGAGTACAAAACGAGAGAACCCTGTAAGAAGATAGCAGCAGTATGTCGACAAGCTTGTCTGTGCATTCCTGTCTGAAAAGGGCTTATGTTCTCAGATTTTTTAGGAGTCTCCCAGGTCTTTCTCTCTACTCTTGCTTTTATTAACAGTAAGTTCCTATACAGGTTCAAGAAATCTGTGGTCCACCCTGAGAGAATAACATAATCAGGAATCACACAAACAGGACGCAATCACAAAAAGTTGAGCGCCTCAGAGGTAAGAGGAGAAAGGCTGACAGGCTGATCTACCACAGCTTTTCCTGTGACTCTCCTTTCTTTCTTCCAATGGCTACCCTGAATTGGGAGGCAACCGCAAATTGAATTTGCGGTTGCCTCTCACACATGCCCCTGCTGTGGACCTGGCTCACAACCCAGGCATTTATTCTGACTGAGAATCCAACTGCAACCCTTTGGTTCACAGGCTGGCACTCAATCCACTAAGCTACATCAGCCAGGGTTCCTGGTTTATTCTTAATGGAAGAAGGACTACAATTTATCAGACTTATGTGGGAGAATAAAAATATTATGGCTACAAATTTCCAGAACATTATCCTCCTTAAATATTTTGATTCGTACATAAGTCCAGGCTATGGAGATTTCAGCCCTCTCCATGTATCTCATAATTCATGTAAGAGCAAGTTCACAAAACAATATATAATATATATTTTCTTAGCCTTTTCCCCTATGATAGACTTTCCAGGAAGGGAAGTCTTTCAGACAACATATTGTGCCATGTATAATGTGCTTCCATGCATAATACGCGACCATGTTTTTGGTCAAAAATTTCAAGAAAAAGTTTTTCATTTTAACTTTTTAATTCAATTTTTTATTTATTTATGTTTAACAAAGAAGACTGATTATTGTACTCCAGAGTATTAGTTTGCATATGGATATCATTATTGCTTTCTGGAATTATACTTTTAATGCATAAGCATGAATAAAAGAATTAAAAACATTTATATGGAAACTGAGTTAGTGCTACCCATGAATATTGTGCATCTTTATATTTCCTTCAAAAATTTGGGCAAAAAGTTTGCATTCCACATGGCAAAAGGAAGTGTGTTCCCAAGGGAATCCTTTAGCCATGGCTTGTGGAATGACCATTCATTGATTTGACCAGGCTCTGCTGGAGGAGGAAACAGGTCTAACACAGCCCATATTTGCCCACAAATGCCACAGTGTGTTTTATAAACATAATAAACATTAAGGATATTTAAATTGGTCTAATAGTGCAACTGAAATAGCACAGGTTATTTGTTTAGACAGATACTGCCCTCCTCTAAGCATCAATTCTTTCTTCCATGAAACACGTTTATTTGCAGGGTTTTATGATGATCACCTGGGCTTCTAAACACATAGAGCATCTAGCACATATCTGGAAGCCATGATGGCAAAATTGATGTGAATTCCATTTTTTTCATTGCCAGTGCCTTTAGCCTGAGATTTTCACAATTACTGGAAATATCTGGGAAATGAAATAATGTACCTTGCCTTCTCTTTGAAATTATCAGGCCTTTCAACATACATGGTCTCTAACTGAGTACCCTGGTCAATAGTAAATGATGTCAAACCAGGAGGTTCATTTGATAGCCATCATGCTCCATTTCTTACCTCATTCTGAGGCAACAACATGAGAAGCACAGGAAATGCTACAAGCTGAAGCTGAGGCCTAGCCAGGGCTGAGGCTTGGGCTTAGGACTGAGGATGTTTCACACTGGAAAGGATGTGGTCACACTCATGGTAACAGGTATGTGTGTGTTTATTATCTTGGCTCCAATAACACTGTGGGCTTCCAGGGGTCATTATATTAGGTCATCATATCTTCTGTGGAATTTACATTAGGGACCAGAGAGGAACAGACAGAATTTTATGTTATTTGTGGTTGAAATTCATTGCCAATAACTGACCCAATACAATGATTCCTGTTTTGTTGTTGCTGTTATTGTTGTTATTGTGTTTAGGAAACATCTGGGTTTCAAAAGTCTGATCTGATAATTGTCAGTAACTTACATGTATAAAATGTTATATCTGGATACAGTAAGGGAAAATATATGCTTCCTTTATGCTATTGCCATGAATATTTTCAGTTGCTTTAGTTGTATAGATCAAATTTCAACTCTAACCAAAGGAATAGCATTTCTAAGAAAAGCCAAATTATGAAAAAATAAAACATTAGCTCTGGCTGGTGTGGTTCAGTGGATTGAATTCCAGCCTGTGAACTAAAGGGTCGCTGGTATGATTCCCAGGCTATGTCACATGCCTGGATTGTAGGCCAGGTCTCCAGTAGAGGGTGTGTGAGAGGCAACTACACAGACATTTTTCTTCCTCTCTTTCTCCCTCCCATTCCCTCTCTAAAAATAAATACATAAAATCTTTAAAGTATAAAACATTAGTTTTACAAAAACTTCTCAAGCAATCTGAGAAAGGGTCGAACAATTCACATTTTCAGAAAGCATTGTGAAGAGAAAATAAGCATTTGTAGCCATAATGTTCTGTCTTCCCTACCTGTGTGCCCCAAAACCAGACTGAGGAGGAGATAGGGACAGGAGGAGAAGAGAGCCTCTCAGACTGTTACTAAGGGAAACAAGTGGCTCAGAGCCCCATGCCCAGACCAATCATTTCTGAGATTGCTAATTGGTCAACAGCATATGGAAGCTTTAAATATAACTATATGACACACAAAAAAAGCAGTCTTTCACACTACGTTTTTTTAGGTATAAGAAACTTTCAGAGAGATTCTTTTTCTTTTTATTGTTTTATCAAAGTAGAACAGTTGATAAAGTGGATTTCAGTGAAACAGGTTGATTGCAGTGAAACAGGCTGATTTCAGTGAAAGAGGTTGTCAAGTTGCCAAAGTTGCTATGATGTGAAGTCACCATTTGACTTTTCCAGATGAGTGTTCTCACTATTTTCTCTGTCCACCAAACCCTCAGGATTTACACAGGTCAAACAATTCTGTGAACCCCAACACTCACACAGACCTTTGCTCTGGATGCATGCCAGCCTCAATGCCTGGGGAGTTCCCTTGCTTGTCACAGAGATGGGAGAGCTAAGTCCTGACTTCCTCATGAAAAGAAGATAGATGTTGCCATGTCACTTCCCAAGGGCTTTTTATTGAAAGTCTCTTCATAACCACATCCCCACAGATTCTCTAGATCTCTGGTAGCCAAGCTATCAGTAATGAATGAC